TTATTCATTGTCTAAAATATTTTCTCTCTATTATTGGAGACTGGATCCTTTCTGTTCATCAGTGTTCATTTTTACCCACTCTAGAGCCGCTCTGGAAATGCCATTCCACAATAAGTTATTCGATGTGCTGGTTATCTGAACTGAGGGCTCTGGTGAAAGACCAGGCAAAGGCACTCCCCCCACCATCTGCCAAAGTTTAGATTGTCCAAAAGCAACCTAATTATCACTCAGGTCTTCCCTAGGAATCTTCCCCATCAAAGGTAAGGTATTTTCCATGCCCCAGAAGATTCCCCAGTATAACTGTTATCAGATGAAGATTTCTCTGAAAAACAAGGTGTTTATTGCCCACACGTCCTTTCTTCCATCTCCCATAATTTGTGTGGCCATCCCCCAGCATCCCAAATCAGCTATTCTTTCTTGTAAACTAGAGTGCTGTATGCTCAGTAGTACATGCTCTGTCTAAAGTGGAGATTATGGAGGCCTGTAGCCCCAAAATTACTCATTCCTCTGAAAAGTGTGGGCTGGGTGATGCGGGGCACCCTGGGAAAAGAGATGGAGCCACAGCCATATTGAAACTCCAGGAGCTAGGTATGCTGCAGGGGCACAGCAAACTGCAGGGGCAAGAATGCGTGGATGCCCTGCCCATCTCTCAGGTTTTGCAGGGTGAGATAAGACACTCAATGTGGGGTGAGATGGTGTGCAGGCACAACACGGGAAAGCTGATGGAGACTCGGGTAGGCTTGAATGTTATGAGATATGAGAAGCCATTTCTTTGAAAGTCACCCCATCCCAAATGTCATATAAACTATGCAAAATCCAAACAGAACTTTGTTAGGTCGGTTTTATTATTCAGCATCAGAACCAGGAGACCTGGTGACTGAGGGCTAGTCTCCCAGAGAGTGGGAAAGGGAAAATTTAGTGAAACAAATTTGCATGGAGCTGCTGGATAGATGAACCACAGGAGTCCAGGAAAAAAAATGGGGATGTGGGCCTCAATTCCAGCAGAGTGAGCCGACAGAAAGGGAGCTAGGTTCAGATTCCCAAATCCAGAAGGGTGGAGATGGGGGGGTGCCCCAAGAAGTCCTGTGAGGTAATGCAACCCATCCCGGAGAAGCTGGCAGGAACCCAGGGGAGAGAGTGGCCAAACCCTTTGTGCTTAAGGGGACTAGCTATGCTCATGTGCATTATACAATGGATCATCAAATATGTAATTAGAATGATGCCAACCATGCAGATGTGGACAGACTCAAAGGGAAAAATCCCTGGACCACAGCTGTGTTGTAAATGTGGGGAAATAGTTCAGGTGCTAAAAAAAATGGAGTCCAAGTCAGCTGCCACATGGATCTGAAAACTTCTTAAAGATTATAGAGAGCCTGGAAAAAAAAAAAAAATCTTACAAGTAAAAGAGGAAAACAGAGAGGGACATGGTCACTACTTTGCATAATAAAAGATTTGCCTAAGGCTGGGGATGATGAAAAGGCTAAGTAGTTACTCTCAGCCTCAGAGCCTAAGAGAGAGGAAAAACAGGAGATTTTAACTTGTGTAAGGACCAGGGGTCCAAGGACCCAGGAAAAAAGACAGATAGTAGTGAAAAAAGAAACAACCTAGAAATAAAAGTAGCTAAAGCTGCCCCTCAGACTCAATCTTTGATACAAAAAGAGAAAAAAGTTAACAGGACTATAGCTAGGAGAAAATACTCCATACTGAAGCTGTTGAAACTCGGAAAGACAAGCAATCCAAGAACCCCTCACCACGTGGCTCGTGAGAGTGTGGGACATGGGATCAGAGATCTACAGAGAAAGCAATTAATACAAATGGATAAAACCTTTCCATGCTGTGTTAGACCTTATCTATGATTGACTTAATATACGATGTTAACCTTTGAGTGTTTTACAGATGTGAAACCCATTTGAAAGATACCTGAAGAAACAATGGCCAGCTATAGCTATAAGATTCTTGGGAGTTTTATGGTTGGGTAAGATAAAAAAAAAAGCTCCAAAAACTATAAAACTTTTAAGAAAAACTACAGTACCAAGGGTGGGTTTCCCCACTATGAGCTATTACAGAGATCCTAGAGGTCCTCAAATTCATCAAGCCTATTGCCACTAATATCAGTTGTACTCCAGAAAGTTCGGTATGTCCATGTTGCTGAAGAAGACACTGCATGGTGTGAGCACAGAGAAGACATGGAGAAACTAAAAACTCCATGCCACTGGATGGATGGCTTTCATAGTGCCTGAAGGTGCTGTGTAAATGGTTGAGGAAAAAGGATCCCCTTTGATTCTGCTCAACAATGGGCCTTGCATGCTGCATACTATGGACATGCCAAGCAATGCCTGCTAGTGCAATAATGGCTCAACTAACATATGTACAAATGACAAATTACTAATTAGATAAGCCCCACTCCTAGGGGTGGAATACACATCTGGTGCTGTAGACCAGGCCAATCCCCTGTGTCAGGGAAGGCTACACGCTCCATCAGGGAAACCATTACAAGTATACTGTTTAACAAAGTACACTGCTTAATACACCTACTGGGATATCGTCTAAGCATTTTTATTTACATCCGTATTTATTTAGATGTGTCTACTTCCTTCCATTTGAATTTATAGTAGGGGGAAACACTACTGAGATAGATCAGTGGCTACTTGAAGATGAATGATGGGGAGGCCCAAGTGGTCAATGTATTGCCATGGTACAAGAGAGATCGCCCTACATCTGCCACCCCTTCCAAGGCTCAGGGAAATTTGTGGAAGAAATGGTGGAAAGTCTGCAAGAGCCAGATGAAAGGAGTGAGTGTAGCCCCCAAATTACTCATTCCTCTGAAAAGTGTGGGCACACGGGGCACCCTGGAAAAAGGGATGGAGCTGCGGCCATATTGAAACTCCGGGAGTGAGGTATGCAGTGGGGGAAAGGCAAACAGCAGGGGCAAGAACAGCCAGGTGAAATGCATGGATGCACTGTCCGACTTGCAGGCTCAATAGGGCAAGTTGAAACACTCAGAGCATGGGGCGAAATGGAGTATGGGTGCAGTACATGAAAGCTGATGGAGACTATGGGTGGGCTTGAATGGCATGGGTTATGATAAGCTGTTTCTTTGTAACTCACCCCTCCTAAATAACATACAAACTATGCAAAATTCAAATAGGATAACTTTTGTCACCCGTTAGCCCTGGAGGTTCAGAGGGTGCAGGTGCAAGTCTCCCAAGAAGGGAGGAAAAAGGAAAAATTTGGCAAAACAAGGCCTATCATTACAGCACTCTTGCACTTCCATATTTGTGAGACTCATTCATGCATAATTAAAGCACTTTCTGTTCTTGTTAGTAAGTCTCATGCAAGTTAATGTGTAGCCCAACTCAAGAACAAGAAAGGGTAGAGCAAAGCCATTTCTCAAGTCCTGCATCTGTTTTTCTTATTGCTATGGAGCTACTGTGTCTATTCTGTCAGTATATACTATTTTCTCCTCCTCTTTCCACATCTTTCTCATGTTTCTCCTCTCTCCACTTTTTTCCTCTTTTCTTTTTTTCATTCTGCTTAATTGTATTTATTCCTGTTTTATTCAATTCGTTTTTGGAGGGGGGTTTTTTGGTCTTTTTTGAGACACTGTCTCCCTGTAGCCACAGCTAGCCTGGATTCACTGTGGAGACCAGGCTGGGCTCCAGACTCACAGAGATCCACCTCCCTCTGCCTTTTGAGTGCTGGGATAAAAAGTGTGCTCCACCACGCCCAACATATATTTATATCTTTTATTTCTTTGCTGAAGTATTGACTTTTACTATCGGTTCCAAAAGTAATTGCAGTGGCTTTTGTGAACGTCTTTAAGATAGGTGTTTTAGTGTTTGTCAGTTAATTCTGACAAGTATGTCACATTGATTTTGGTATCTTTTAAGCAAAGTACCTGTGTACATTAATAGTAATCCTTCTCTTTCTATACTTACAATTCTGGATATTTTGGACATTTAAATACTATTATGATTAGTTTAAACCTTACAAAGAATTTTTTTTTTCTGAACTACAATCATTTTAGTTAGGTTTTAGTTGCCAACTCAGACCTGCACTCACTGGTCTCTGGTACCAATGTGACTTCACTTTGCAAATCTTTAGTAAGTGTTATTATGATATCTCCCATGTGTCCAATCTTCACCTTGCATGCTACCATTCCCTTTAGGTTTCAGTTTGTTCACTGTGGTGAATAACTGGGCTCTCTGCAGGAATAGCAGGCAGCCATGCCCAGGGCACGGTAGGCAACTTTAGCGATTGTGTTCTTGAGTTCTTCTCTTTTCAGACTGAATCTGAAATGTCCCCACAGACTTCTGTACTTGAACACTTCCCCAGCTGGTGGCACTATTCTGACATGCTGTGGAAGCTTTAGGAGCTGGGCCCCAACTGGAGGGAATGATCCACTGGAGCAGGTATGATTCTGCCTGAATGCTGTGCTTCCAGACTGCTGAGGAGATGTGAGCAAGACACCTAACACTGTGAGTGTCATAGTCAAGACCTTTTCCCACCATGCCTTCCCCTCCTTGACAGACTGCGTCCTTTTGAACTGTGAGCCAAAATATGTATTTTGTCCCTAAGCTGCTTTTTCAAGGTCTTTTATTACAGCAGTGAGACAGATAACTAACAGCTGCTCCACTGCCTTCCCAGTGTGCCTCAGTGCACAGTGCTTGCCCTGCTTGTTCTCTGTCTAGAAAGCCAGCACTTTGCTGCATTTTGCTGCCATGGCATGACTATAACCAGGGTACCTGTAACCAGACAGAAGTGACAGAAATTCGGTGTGCAAGGAAAGTCACTGTGAGGGACTTGGGGACAGAGTAGCTCCTTCAGAACTTTGTATTCCCATTGTTCTTGCTGTCACAGTTTGTTGAGGAGAGTAGTCCAGATAAGAGAATCAAGGAAAATTCAACCACCACAGGAACCCCACCAGCTCTCTGAGCATGAGGTCTCCCCTAGCTCTCTCTGGTAAGACAGGCCAGATGTTTTTATGTCTGCTTCTAATATTTTAAGTTGTACGGAAATTAGTCAGGAATAGCAAAAGGAAAAAATGAAAATGAATGTCTATTTCGGTGGTTTATTAAATTCTCATCTTCTTGTATTAATCTGACATTCCTACTTTCGACTCCTGGTCTACCTGGCCCTTGCATTCCTACTGGCTGTGATTACTGCAGGCACTGAGGGACACTGTGTAATCCACTGTATCTTGCTCCTGATCACTGCCACTGAATTTTTGATGTATTAACAAATATTAGAAACTTTATGTAGGGTAATAACTCTTTTAAAGGTGGTCTGGTTTTGCTCTTTTGTGAGTTTTCACGTTGGATTAGACAAATGTATCATGTTTTCTCACTGATTCTGAGCCTCTGGGATCCTCATGGGATCAGCTTTGGGGCCAGGAGAAGATACTATGCTGCTTTGAATTTACACATTGCTTATGATCATATTGTTAATTAAAATATATTTTATTATTCTCCTTCAAATTTTTCCTTCTTTTCTGTTGACAGAGGTTTTTATACTCAAAAGTTAAATTTGTGTACCAAAGCAATACTTTTCAACAATTCCTTTGTTTAGAGAACATTTAGTTCTCTCATTTAGAACTCATTGAATTGGTTTTAGTAATCAGATTCAATTTCCATGTATAGAAGCAAAATTAACCTATAATTCAGAGGCTGCACTAAATGTTTGTAAGTTTATATGTTCATAATCCATCTTTGTTTCATCAAGCCCTGTTTGAGGGTCTTAGGTCTTAACTATAAAGCAACCCTTTTAGCACTGCTCTGAAATTCTTAGAGATCTTTCCCAGCACCTTGAAACTGATGGCTTTTTCATTCCCTCCCACACTTGTTACTGTGATGCTCCAAGTTCCTCCTCGTCTTTTTCTAATACAGTGCAGCAAACCCTGTTGCACATTCACTCGCTTAGAAACAGCAGCATATTCTGTGCTGCACAGACTCCCACAGCAATGGCCTGCACCTACTTTGAGGAAAAACCCAAGTGCCACTTGGGCTGAAGTTTTCATGGTTCCTTCCTCGCACCTCTCTTTTTAAACTGTGAACAGTGTTCAGTATTTGCTGACATTTTAGATTCTTAACTCAAGGTAACTGAGATTCTTATTCCTTCTATGAAAACTTCCTGTGTATCCTAAATTTCCCACAAGTAACATGCCTCTCAAAGACATGAACCTTTACTGTCTTGTGTTCTGGCTCTCAAAAATCCCAACATCCATTAAAATTTGCATCAATTACACTTTTTTCTCTTAAACTGTAAACACTGTATCCAGAATGTAAAGGGGAGTTGTCATTAAGACACACCTATTTCTTAAGAAAAACAGTCTAAGCACTAACACCTTTAAAAAAAATATCCTAAATGTGGTGACTAGTTTAACTCAAAGAAGATAATAAAATTTGAATGAGTTTCCAAAGTGTGATGTAACTTTTCTTAAGCGATAGCAAATCTTCAGGACTTTGATGCAGTTGTACTGTTCTTTTTATTATTCCAGACTTAAAGGGAATAAGATGTGATTCAAATCTGCTTATTGCACTTTTGTATGGCATTTTAGAGCACAGCAAGAGTTCCCAGGGTGTTAGTGCTTGAAGTCACAGGCATGCCGGAATGAAATAAAACCATCTTATGCAGAGCTGATTCTTTCTGAGTATGACGAAAAACCCCACAGGAATGTGAGCTGTGTCCTGGCAATCCTGCAGCATGGGGGTAGGTTCTTTTCCTTGATTTCTGATTTTATGTTTCAATGAATATCCATATGGCTTTCCACCTAGAGGTAATAAGTAGCATTCACAAATCACTTCCCTTCACTTGCTTCTTTCATGTACCAGTTTGTGTCACTCTAATGAGCATCATCTCATGTTCTCAGTGAATTACAGATGCAGGGACCTGCCTGGGAGCATTTTTGCTCATTATAGTGGAATGAAAGAGGTGCTCTCTCATTTTTCCTATATGTCTTGTTCTTTTCAATGTATTGTTTTGCTTACATAACTGTGTCATTTATTATAATGGGATTTGAATTAAAATTTTTAGGTATTTGATCCATAATAATAATTTAGTTGTTTGAGCAAGGATCCTGTGCTATTTATAAAAGGAAAGCAATGAAAATCTTTTCATTGTAATTTGAGAATTAAATTTCCATCAGTCTTGAAAGAAGTCATTGTGGACTACATGGGAGATGCCTGATAAAACATCAACAACTACTGTTGGAGGTGTCATAGCCATCAGGTCCTTAAGTGAAAAACAGACACACGTGAGAAAATACTACATTTGACATATGACACTGATTCTGAAGTCTCCATGGAAACTACTGGAACGCTGAGCACAAATTATGTGATTGAAATTATCAAACCTACCTTTCTTTCAATGGAAGCAAATGATATGTGCCTAGTTCTCTGCAACAGCTTCTACCTACTTCACCCCAGAATCATGATTAGACCTGGTTTTGTCTGTGATGGGCAGATATGATGAATAATTCCGGAAATGATATGCACTGCTTTAATGTAAGTGGAATGTAGCACTAATCTCTAATATTAGAAAGGATATGCTTGTATTCTTTTGGGCAGCTGGCATCTTGGTAGGACATGATTATTCTGTATCAGAAAAAGGTAGGAGTAAATGGTCCTTATTTTACTGTACCATTTTACTAGTTATAGTTGTGACTTAGTTAACTTTATTCTTTATAATACTTGTATAATGTGTATAAGAGAGAAAGAGAGATTATGTTAAACTAGAAATCTTGAGCTAGCAGTTTTGAATATGCCACTCCAAAATATACTACTTTGCAGAAAGATTATTTTGAACTGAAGGCAATTGGAAGGTACAAGATGAACTCTCTGGCCTCCTCTTGTGTGCCTAGACACAGGCCATTAATTTATGAGAACATATGGCTCCCCTTTCTGTCTGGAAGGTCAAGGCTTATCCATAGAGAGGGTTTGGGCCTGAGGATTCTGTATAACAGGCTTCACTAACTAGCCTTTATGTCCATGGATTTTTTTTTTCCTACAAGTTACTGCATCACAAAGCTCATTGTCTTTTTTACTTGTTTTATGATATATGAAAACTTGTTTTCTGTTGATGATATCATAAAGTAAATTAGAATTGTGAGTCACTTCTTAAAGAACCACACATTGATTTTTCTGGGTTTCTCTCATGTGAGTATAATATCTACATTAATGACCTACTGTTTGTTTTTCTCTTACTAATCTGTCTTCTGCTCCAGGTACTTGAGATAAGAACCCAGGAAAGTATTGCAAAAACAATTTAAATTCTCTTCCTCAATTTGATTTCAATGTTGGTAAGAAAGAATATACTCTAAGTAACAAAATCATATATTCCTCATAGATTTAAGGAACAATGTTTTATTGGTTTGATCTATTAAATACCCAACTATATAATTATAAACTATTGAATGCATAGCTTTATGCAATCTTCTAGTCACAGATGAGCTCACAGTACTCTGAGCATTCTTTTTATTTTTCTGCAAAACTTTTTTCCATACTGAGAGATATGCATAGGCCAATCTAAAAAAGTTGCCACCAAAAATATTAGATGGAGCATGCCTTTAATCCCAGCACTTGGGAGGCAGAGACAGGTAGATCTCTGTGAGTTCAAGGCCAGCCTGGTCTACATAGTGAGTTCCAGGACAGCTGGGGCTACAGGGAGGCCCTGTCTCAAAAAGGCATATATATATATATATTTGCAAAGAAAGAATATTACATTTGGATCTGCATATCAACTAATCAAAAAGAGGTCAAGTAACTAGACTGAATGTTTTATGAACCTACTTATTTCACCTTTCAGTGTATTATAGAATGCCAAAAGTAAATAAAGAAATAGATATTCTTGGGGAATAAGTTAATAGGAAAGAAAGACATGTTAATGGAGCATGAATAGGGCCAATACATAAAGAGATGTCCAACAGACAATTTCCCTACTTGAGTTTCATAGGATGTGTTGGCAGATCATTAATATTCTTGAGAATTACCAGTTGATTTTAGCTTGCCTTTTCTATTTTACACAGTTGTCCTCTTATTATGATAATATTTGCATTTCCCTCATAAGCTAGCTTAATTCTCCTTCCTCAATCTCCTGTTGGGCTTTTATTCCTGGACTCCTTACAGGCAACCTTTCCTCCCAGGCTTGCTCTTTGCTTTCCTTCCTAAAATTCACCATCGTTTGACTACTTGAGTTTCCTCTTCACTCTTGGAGTGTTTGATTTGCAGTCCGCATCCCTGAATGATATTCCTGACATGCCGTGTTTTTGTTTGATGCTGATTTGGCTTCCATGTATTTCAATATTAGAAGCACATAATAATAAAAAAAAAAGATTTGACATGTGTATGGAAAACAATGTAGAGATTTCATTAAGAAAAAACACAATATGACACAGCTATACCTCTCCTGGGCATGTGCTCTGAGGACCCTAAACCCTACCACGGAGACACTTCCACTTTGTGTTGATTGCTCTGCTATTTACAACAACACAGAAATGACCAGCTATCAACAGATGAATGGATAATGAAAATGTGACACAGACACATAACAGAACTTTATCAGGCATAAAAATCGGTGAAATCATATTTGAAAAAAAATGGATGAAACTGGAAATTATTATGTTTAGCAAAGTATCCCTGAAACAGAAAGGCAAACAGATATTTAATATAATAATTTTATACACTCTTTGAGAGTCCCATACCTGTAAATGAATATACCACACTTTATGCACATACTAGATTTTACATATTTGTATAGGTATATGCAATGTCATAATGAAACCTGTTACTTTGTATACTAACAAAATGTGACTAAAAATCTACACCAAGCCTTCATGCATTTTGATGATTGGAGTTTGGCTTAGTCTGTAGTTCTAATGTGTCATTTTATTTCTCTTCTTCCTGCTACACATTTCATTTGCAATTCTTCTTTGTCCTGTGCACCTGTCTTTTTAAATACCTCTTTCAATTTTCATCCTTTTAGTGAGAGTTCAAAAGATTTTTATTTGTGCATATTGGACCATTGGTTTTAACATTGTAGCAGTTTTAAAATGTTTTTCATTTTTCTTCTTTTTGGATTACAATGATCAAAACCGAATAGTAGAAAAATAAAAGTAAGATACTCTTAGTTAGACTCTCAGCATTTTCCAGCTATTCTTCTTGGTCATTTATATAATTCATTCACAGTGGCCCTACAGGAGCAGTCAGGCATTATCTAAGTTGTAGAACATGGGACAGGTGAGGCTTCTGTTCTTTGGGGTATGTGACTGTTTCTGTTTCCTTACCTCTGAGAGGGACTTGTGCTCTGGACACCTTCATCGTATTTACTTCTTTTTCAATACTAGGAGAGTCTGGATTCTAACTATACATTGGTGGATGGTACTAGTCACTGGTTACAGATAGGATGAATCACAGTGCGCAGTGTGCCTGACACAGATGCCAGCTTCTCCATCACAGTCCTCCATTGCATCTACATGCCTCCCTCCAATGACTCCAAATTTCCAACACTAGTATGCCAAGACAACTCTATGTGATGCAATTTAAGTGGACAACCCATTTGTTCTTAAAGATATCTGGAAGACAGAAAACACAGGCATCCATCCCATCACCCACAGTCCTTAATGCTTCTGTAACCCACATCACAAGCAACCAAGGACTTAGCGTTCTTTTGTTTCCCACTGACATCTTATTCTTTGTGGTTTAGTCAGTTGCTAATTGCATCTAGTAAAATTTTTATTTCACTTATGTACTTTTCAATACTTTTTACATTTATGTTTATTCTTTCACCATTTCATAGACAACCTCTTTGTGTCCTTTTCCCTATTATTCACTCTCATCCACTTTTCCCTTCCACTTAAACCCTTTCTCCCTTTCTTCTTCCAAACATGTCACCCTTGTACTTTCATGCTGTTTTTGTTGTTTATGACCCACTGCATTTAATGAAGAGTTGTCGGGGGATGGGGAGGTCAGTTACTCTTAAAACCTTGGCTTAGAGAATAAGAAAAGGTGGAAGAACAAAAATATTTGCGTATATATTGGAAAATAGTATTGATGACACAGTGACTAAGAACTTGGTTGAAAGAAAAGTACCACAGACAAAGATTTTGAAAAAAGACAAATATTCCTATTACATATCAGAAATATAGGCTGGGCATGGCAGTGTAGGCCAATAGGCCCACCACTTGAGAGGCAGAGGCAGAGGTATCACATTGTAAGTTTGAGGCCAGCTTGACCTGCCTAAGAAGTTCCAGGACAGTTCGCGACACAGCAAGTGCCTGTCTCAAAAACAGAAAACAAAACAAAACCCATATAATTGAAAGAAATCTTCATTATAAAGTTTGAATTTGTAATGAACGTCTTTTCAAATCAAACTGATATGGATGATAATTAAGGCCTAATGTGTGACCCTATGGGCAATGTTGGGGTTAGGTTGGAGTTCATGTAAAGACATTGTCACATTTGGGGATGATTTGTCCCTTCTATTTTTTAAAGAGTTTGTGAATAATTATCACTAATTTCTTTTTAAATTTGGAGTAAAATTAAACAGGAATACTATCTGGGAACTTTTCTTGTAGGTAGCTTTTAGATTACTAATTCAATTCCAGTGTTTGTTACCTGTTCATTCAGATTTGTTATTTCTTCTTAGTTGAATTCAATAGTTTGTGGGTTTCCAGTAATTTTTTCACTGCATAATGTGTTATTG